AGGCTCTTAATATCAGATTTCCCTCCTGCTTCCGTCTTAAAAAAGAGTCTTATTCAAGTCAGAAACCAGCAGGCAAGCAAACTCTTTTCTCCCACAGGTGGGAACGGACAGCAGTGTCTAAAATAAAAGCTGTGACTGTAAAAGCCATTTTTGATCATCTAACAGCCCAATTCCTAATTCCAGAAAATTTGTACAAGGTCAGTCAATGTTTCAGCAGTCTAAGGCAGTGTTTCCCAACCTTGGCAACTTGAAGATGTCCGGACTTCAACTCCCAGAATTCCCCAGCCAGCGAATGCTGGCTGGGGAATTCTGGGAGTTGAAGTCCGGACATCTTCAAGTTGCCAAGGTTGGGAAACACTGGTCTAAGGTATGTTTGAAAATGGAGGAGCTAAATCACTTGCCTTCATTATTTTTCATGAGTTGATTCAATAAATCAACATACATCAAGTACTGAGCACAGATATCTATATAATTTCCTTTGTATATATGCAGGGAATAGGATATTTATAGGCTTCTTTTTTAAACAACTGTTTAGCATCAACAAATTTGCTTCAATGGCTGCCAGAGTGAAAGATGTATTTGAAAAAGAATTGCAAGCTAAGTTTTGGTAGAAATGTTTGTTTGGAGCTATGTATTCAGAAGTATAGATGCTTAATCTTAGTAGGCATATGGCTGTGTAAAATTATTTTCCATATACAGAACTCCAACTGGCAACCTAGCTAGTCTAATTAAAAGAGAAAAATATCAAAGAAGTTTTATATTGATCCAACTCTCCTGTAGTACACATCAGAAAAATATTCTTACTCCCAGAGTTAAACAAGACTGCCAGACTTCAGGTTCATGGGATCTATTTTGGTTTCTTATTAAAACTCTGGAGATGCACCAACTGGAGTCCGAGTCATGAATAACTGAATAGAACTTACAGTTCTGCACAAAAAAATCTGTTCCAAGTGTGTCCAAACTTTCACTATTTCATCAGCATAATGTAAAGTGAGGCACTACAATTAAAAATTAGGTGCTTGCAAATCTATTGCAAGTCACCTAAATTGCCTAAAAGTAGATCTTTTTGTTGGTGTCTGGTTTAATCTTGCCAAAGAAATTACTCTAGTTATCATTAGTTATTGATAAAGAAATTTTCTGCTGCGAACCTCCACACAACGACTAGATGGCAGTAACCCTAATTCTTTTCTGTCATCTACTGGTTGTCCAAATTTCTGCAGCCCAGTTAGTCCGCCTCATTTAAATTCACATTCCCTTCCTGACAAGCCTTGTAACAGAACTGATCACAACCCTTTGTCTCCTCCAAATGCACAAAGAAAGAGCCGCCTGAGAGATCCAAGACGCCGTTAAGAGGCTTCATAGCAGCACTGAGGCAAGGTTGTTGTTTTTTTTGCTCCATGAGCACAACTCAGAAAAAGGTTGGAAGTGAAAATATCTACGGCAGCACAGATTAAGCAATTCCTTTTTAAGCCAGCATTCTCTTCACGGGCCAATGTGCCAGGAATGTAATGCTGAATAAAGAAAGGGAGCCTACTGATCACGAGAGAGAGAGAGCCAAGGCAGGTTGTTTTGCTGAGGCCGTTTTTTTCCCCTCCACATCCAAACTTAAGGTTGTCTCTGGGGAGTTTTGAGATATTCCCCCCCCCCTTTTTTTTTTGCTTAGAGGAGATGGCGAGGTGCCCCCTGACTACTGATGCGGCTCATATAAAGAACATGAAACGCTGTGGATTGTCCTGAGCTGGATAAAGGGGAGTGACTACATCTTCTCGTTATTGTATGCACGTACTGTATATGCATCTGTCTATTTATTATCTACCCACCAACAGTACCCAAACTCAGCATTAACGGAGCACAGGACGGCCGAGCTGGGGGGGAAAATGCTTAGGGTAAACCCATCCATATTACTCGATCCCACCGTAAGAAATATATATATATATATGCACAGTTGGGAAATACTGGGGGTGGGGAAGTGAACTACACACACACACACACACACACACACTCTGCAAACTGCATGACAGGCTGTGAACTTTTCTTCCCCGGCCATACAGGGACCTTGATGCCCCCTCCACTCTCCAATCAGCAAAATGACCTTGTGCTTCAACGCGCCGCCTCCGCCCCCCCACGTTCCTTCTCCACTCTCACCCTTTCCGCCCATCATTTTATCACCATCGCTGCTTAACCGATGCCCCGGCGCCCCAGAGGAGAAGGCTGGCCCTCTCTTTGGCTTCTCGCCTCCTTCCCCGCCCCTCTTCCTCATGCCTCCCCCCCGGTTCGGATCTTACCCCCCCACTGTGGACCGCCTGAGTTCCAACTCCGGCTTCTGCTCCCGCCGCTATAGATGCCTGCAGGCCCTCGTCGCCGCCTGCTAAGAAGAAGGAGTCGGCGTAGCCCATTCAGGGGTAGAGGGGAGAAAGGTGCCCCAGTCCTCCCTGAGCGGTGCCATCCGCTATCTTGTCAGCCATATAAGTAATTCCTGTCTAGTGTTCTTACGAAATGCTGTTTTTTTCCCCCGTGGAGATCCTTTTTTGTAAAAGTGTTGCTGGATTGAAAGCAGGGGGATCGAAGCAGCGATTCTCCCCCCCACCACGTTCGGAATGGTGGCGCTCAGGGAGCGCAAGGCTGCTTGGGCGATGTAGTTTGTAATCGGCTGGATGGGTAAGCGAGCACGTGGCTGCAGCGGTCGCGTGAATTGAAGGTAGAGTAGACGAATGGTCGTCGTTCAAAAGGACTGAAACGGAGGCGGATCATTAGCGGGATGAAAGCAGCAGGAGAGCCGAGTGAGATCAAATACAGAAATAGACATCTACCTGAGAAGCGTTAAAATGAAGGAGCATTGGACAGAGGAGGATAAGAGAAGAAGAGGAATGATGGGAGAATTTGGCAGGTTCATTTGAATCAGATAACGATGGAAAAATATCCTCCTTTGAGAGCCTTAGGAAGATAGTGGATGCTTCTGAACCCCTATAGAATGGTTTCTTTATCCTTTGAATAATCATAGCCACTTGGGATCATCCCTTTAGTGTTGAAGGAGTGGCATTATTTGGTCCACATGTTTTCTTCAGGTAAATTCACGTTTCACATGGAGGCTTATGAGAGGGCAGGGAAAATATAGCTTAATCGGAACCAAAAATGACTAGAAACTTGTATGCAATATCAAGGTTCTGCTTTTTAATATAGGTTTATTCCAAAGCACACACAATAGCTTGATCTCTGCTATTTAGGAACCAGGAAATGCTTCCAAACAAAGTATCCAAACTATTCTCACACATGTTTTGCTTTGATTTGGAGATGTATGAAAGATGGGTAACTGTCAGATATATTATCCTGGGTAAGAAAGTTGCTGGTTCTGGTGAGAACGGAGCTATCTCAAGGTCATCTTGATTGATAGGTAACAGTATTTCATGTTCCATTTTAATTCAAAAGGATTCACTGTTTAAAAAAAGTCTATAATATGTATTGTATATTTTGCACTTCTCATTTGAGAGGCAAACCCAGTTTTCCTCCTGCTGTGTTGAACAAACATTTTGGAATCTGTAGTTCAACATGTCTGGAGGACAGTAGTTTGCATATGACAAATATACACAAATGCAACATATATAAATATATATACATATACATATATGTGTGTGTGTGTGTTGTGTTTGTTACATATTATTGGGTTTCTGTCTGGATGGTCTCTTATGACGAGCCGATGGACAGAGAATGGAAGTAGTGACCTTCCTCCCATATTTGGGCATACCAGGGGTTGTGACTTTAAATATATATATTTGTCATCATATGCAAATATATATATAAAA